AGTATCTCCTCGCCGATTTGTCTCTCCTCCCACATCCGTCACCTGAATCCCTAATCTACCCATAACAGTCCTCATTCCTCTTAGTCCTCACTCCTCACCTGAATCGTGCCTTCACCGAACCACCAAATTCGGCTCCTGAATCGAGCTCTCAATCTCATTTCGCACTCTTCGTCACTACAAAAGGTAAGAAATTCCTGCAATAAACTCAACCAAAGTTCATACAAATTGTTTGATTCTAAATTCGATTAGAGAATTTGAAATTGGGTTTCTAAATTAAGAATTTCTGAAATTAGGGTTTCTGAATTAGGGCTTTTGGAATTAGGGATTTAGAATCGACGGAGAGGTTACAGAGGGAATATGAGAGGTGAAAGGGGGAGGGAGCCTGACTTAAATGTTTTGTAAAATACCTTTTGCAATCAGAGCTGTTTTCGTAAATTTTGGTGAGGTACTCAGGTACCCCATTCGTTCTTTTCGTAAATTTTTCAAATGGATTTTAGCGAGGTACTCAGGTAGCCCATTTGTTCTTTTCGTAAATTTTGTCACTGCAGTTGATTTAGGGTTATTCATATATGGTGCACCAGTTCCATAATTTTATAAAAATGGAAGCTCGATTAATTAATAAGTTTTTATAATCATTCTTAGCATATTTAATTGCGTGTGATTCTGTAATTTAAATTTATTGGAATGGATGGGGTTATAAAATGGAAATTGTTTGCACGTCAAGGCACAGTTTGTTAAGGTTTTGTTTAGTTATGGGCCAATATTCGAAGGAAAGTTAATGGAGTGTGGTACAAGCTGCTGTTGTTGTTCCCTTGTTTGTGTTAAATATATGAAATCTGAGTCATATGCATTCGAACAGACCAAGGCGTTTCGCTTCTTTCTTTGTTTGTTTTATATTCCTTTTGGGTGAGGGGATGAGGGTCGTAGGTTGTAAATGGTGTTGATTAGTATTGGACTTGGAATATGGATTAAAAACATATTGATTGTGGGGAAGTGGATTAAAAAGTTAGTCTAAAATTTACCATGATAAATCAATTTTCTTTTGTTGTCCATATACAACATAAAATCAGTAATTGAACGATGCAACAAAGCAAAAGAGGAGCACTACCAATTTGGGAATCCAACTTCTGAGGTTAAGGTATTCTTCAGGGAAACTGCATCAGCTTCAGACTTAAGTTATCAATAAAACTGCATCAGCTTTAGACGACGTCCTGCAGTAGTTTTATTGATAACTGCATTATTGATAACTTATCTTCAAAACATTGTTAACTATTACACATTTGAAAAATGGTTTTATATTAAGAGAAATGGTTTTATATTGAATATGTTAATGTTATTGCGTTTGAATTGGATATGTGTTATTGTGCTTTATTGATTGGAATTTGGATATATGCTGAATTGTGGTTGTGATATATTAATGTGCATTGTTATTTTATTTGTTAGGATGGACGGGTCTAGTAGCCAATGTAGTACACATATGGTCTCGGTATTAGGAAAACGAAAACAAACCCAACCTAGTGGTACCCTTCAACTAGGCACTCCCTCACCTCAAGATTATTTGCATAATGATTATTATGAAGATTGTTGGGATGATAATCCGGAAGTGGAGGAGGATATTGCATTAGAACAAATAGAAGAAGAGGGGGAAGAAGGGGAAGAGGAAGTAGAAGAAGTAGAAGAAGTAGTGAGACAATGGGATAGTCCTCCTCGGAAAAAAAGGCAATAGGAGAAAGGGTCCAAGTCCAGCGTGGAACGATGCTAAGAGGGTAACGATCACCGATAATAATGGGGAGAGATTGTTCATGGCCGAATGCAAGCATTGCAAACTCTTAGTACTAGCACACCCTAGAACTCATGGGACAGCGGGAATTCTTAAGCATTTGAGGAAATACCCGGGTTCTAATCTCTTTGAGAATGTGGATCCGAACCAACCTACATTGACACAAGCGAGGATGGGAGGTCCGGTTGTCACTTACACTTTCAATAAAAAAAGACTTGATAGGAGACGTGTGAGGTGGATTATAATAGCGGAGATGCCTTTTAGGGTGGTTGATCAAGAGGACTTTCGAGCTTTTATTCATGACTTGAATCCAAAGTACAAACTTCCTAATAGGCATAAGGTGGCGGTGGCGGTTTTGGAGTTGTATTTTGAAGAGAAGGAAAAAATAAAAAGTGTGATGGAGGGATTGAGAGTGAGTATCACAACCGATACTTGGACCTCGATTCAAATGATAAACTACATGGTCATCGCGGCCCATTTTTTGGACACTAATTGGGGATTGCATAAGAGGATCCTAAACTTTGTCCAAGTTACTTCTCACAAGGGTGATGATATTGGAAGATGCCTAGAGGTTTGCTTGAATGATTGGGGCATAGACAAGGTGTTTAGCATTACCGTTGACAATGCTAGTGCAAATAACACCGCTATTGCATACATGAAAAGAAGAGTCAAGTCAATTGGTACTCTTTTACTTGACGGGGCTCACTTGCACATGAGGTGTGCTTGTCACATCCTCAATTTGATAGTTAAGGATGGAATGGCGGAGCTTCGCAGGGAGATTGATGCCATAAGAAATTGTGTGAAGTTTATACACTCATCCTCGGCAAGGTTGGAGTCTTTTAGGGAATATTGTGTCTTGTTGAGATTTGATAGGATGTCAAGTATCCCTTTTGATGTTGTCACAAGGTGGAATGCCACGTATCAAATGCTTAGTAGTGCTTTCAAGTTTAAAGAAGTGTTCTCTAAGATGGCCTTTGAGTGTGATTCTTTTATTGCTTACTTCAAAGAGGAGGTCTCGAAAAAGGTTGATAGGGTGACAACAAAGGCCAAGCGGGTGGGTCCTCCGGAGGTGGATGATTGGGAAAGGTCGGTGAGTTTTGCTCACTTTCTCAAAAAAATTTATGATGCCACATTGACATTGAGTGCAACCTTCACTCCAACATCACACTTAATACTTAGCACGGTGATTGCCTTGCAAGTGGAGATAGAAGAACAAATTTTAAACGCCTCTAATGCCACTTTGCAAAGTGTGGCTACCTCAATGAAGCTCAAGTTTGACAAATATTGGGGTGACATTGAAAAGGTGAATCCTATTCTCTTTGTGGCCCAATCACTCGACCCGAGGTACAAATTTGATATGTTGGAGACAAATCTAGAAGAGCTCGGCTATGGATGTGACAAAATAAGGGAGGAGAAAGTAAGGGTTAAAGGCTATGTAACCGAGTTGTATAATGCATATAAGGAAGGAGTAGTCCTTAGTGGTAGTAGTGGTAGTAGTACTAGTAGTAGTGCTACCTCAAATGTGGAGCAAAGATCAAGTGTTGTACTAGATGATGGGGCGGGGGGGGGGGGGTGTGATGGTAGATATTGATGTTGCTTCAAGGATGACAAAGAAGATCCAAAGAAAGAGAGCGGAGGCATAACAAAATGAGATAGCCAATGAAGTGGATATGTACTTCAATGATCCACATCAAAGCCTAACATATGAGGGTTTCAATCTTTTGGATTGGTGGAAAGGAAATTGTGGTCAATATCCAACTCTTAGTAAAGTTGCTAAGGATGTATTGACCCTTCCTAGTAGCACCATTGCTAGTGAGAATGCCTTTAGTCTTGGTGGGAGAGTTGTTGATCCTTTTAGAGCTTCCTTAACACCTAAAACGGTTGAGGCTTTAGTGTGTACTAGTGATTGGCTTAGAGGAAAAGAATTTTGTTTCTACAAGGAGCCTACACTTGACGAATTATACTTCTACGAGGAGCTTGAACGCTTAGAAAAAAGTAAGCAAACAATTTAATTTCCTCTTTTATTTTCTTAGTATTTATTATCTATTACTATTAGACTATAATTCAGTCTAAATGATTTGTGGTTTATTGTTTTAGGCATGGCTAATTTGGGAGGTGAGGAGAATACAACATAAGAAAATGAAATGCCACCTCCACCTCCACCTCCACGACCATCTCAAGTTGAGGTTCAACGTCAAAATCAAATTAATCAATCACTACCTCCACGACCACCCATTTTAAGGAGAAGGGCTCAACCATCAATATCAAGGGGAAGGGCTCAACCAAGGGGAAGAGTACATGTACCAACAAGAAGGGAGCAACCACAAGCATCAACAAGATCAAAGGGCCGAAGGGGCCGAAGAGGCCAACAATCTTCATAAACTTTAAGCTTTGCTTTTTGGCTTTTGGTTTGTAACTTAATTATTTTGAAACTTTGGCTCATAACTAATTTTTTTGCTTTTGAGTTTGTTACTTTATTTATTTTAAAACTTTGGCTTGTAACTAATTTTTTTTGCTTTTGGATTTGTTACTTAATTATTTTTATTGCATGCATGTCATGTGTAGTAGAAATTGAATAGATAGATCACATATGCTATTAGTAGAAATTAAATAGGCAGATCACTAGGTATTGTGCACAGATTGCAGATTGGCAGATTGCACAGATTCAGATTGCAGACTGCACATAGCCCAAATTTTCAATATAAAAGGTTGAATTTTAGCCCAAAAGCATAATATGTTAAATTTAGTCGAAAAGCTCAAAACCATTTCAGGATTCCTGATTTATCCTGAAATCCCGAAACTATTTCGAGATTCCCAAAAATTGGGATTCCCGAAAATTTGGTTTATGATCGGTATTGAATTTGGAATTCCCAAAAATTTCAGTTTAGGAATCCGGACAAGGGTTTCGGTATGGGATCCTATACCAAACCATCCCTAATGTTAATAATTTACCCTTTTTAATAGAAACAAACGGAAGACTTAAATAAACGGTTCGGACCGGAACAGTTGATATGAAATAGACCTCGTAAGACGTGCGCAACAAAATAATGTAAAAAAAGTGGTCCAGCTGTTGGTCTATATAAACAAATATTGCTTCTCGGCGATGTGCTTCCCTAAACTAATAAATTAATAATACATAAATGCAATAACAATTACCGACAGCTGGTTGCGACTTTTGAGGGAAGCCACGAAAGAGAATTATCTATAGTTCTGTCACGACTCATCAGGTCAGGAGCAAGACTTTGTGCCTTAAATCTTCTTGTTGGTTTCTCAACGGATTACTCATCGTGTTCTTTGCCTTGGGTAATACAGAAGGAAAGATGGACGGACTTCTTACTTTTGGTGCCAAGGAAATACTGAAGAAGGTGGCTTCACTTGCCGCTCAAGAATTCAGTCTTCTCTCGGGATTCGAAGAAGAAGTCACAAGGCTGCGTGATTCATTGTACATCACTGAAGCTATGTTACGAGATGCCGAACAATCACAAGTTGGGAGCGAAGCGGTGGAACTTTGGGTGAAGAAGCTTGAAGACATAGCTCATGATGCAGATGATGTGTTGGATGAATACGAATATGAAGTTCTCCGGCGCAAGGTGGAACTGCGAAACCAAATGAAGAAAAAGGTACTGAACTTCCTCTCACACCACAATCCCATTGCATTTCGTCACCAAATGGCACATAAGATTAAGAAGATGAACGCATCTTTGGAGGATTTGAATAAGATGGCAGCTGGTATTGGACTAGTTGCTAGGTCCGCAGATCCAACGTCCTTTCGTGATACTGGATTACTTGACAGTAGGGAGACCGTTTCTTGCTTTGTTCAAGATGAAATGTTCATAGTGGGAAGGGACGAAGTTGCATCAGAGATAGTTACAACCTTGATCAACTCAAGCAATACACAAGAGATTGGTTCTCTTTCGGTTATGGCCATTGTGGGAATGGGAGGCCTGGGAAAAACAACATTGGCTAAAAAAGTTTATCATGATTCCGAGATAAGCAGACACTTCAATAAAAAAATATGGATATGTGTATCTACCAATTTTGAAGTCAAGGCGGTTTTAAGTATGATTTTGGAACATCTTAAACCAAAAAAGACAGGCATGCAAGGTAAGGATGCAATACTAAAAAATCTTCAAGAAGATTTGAATGGGAAAAGATATTTGCTTGTACTGGATGATGTCTGGAATGAAGATTCCCATCAATGGACGGATTTTATGAGTTGTTTGTTAAGTGTTAAGGATACTCAAGGAAGCAAAATCCTTATCACTACCAGGAGTATTACTGTTGCTTCAATTGTGCAAACATTTCCTCGGTGCGATTTGGAAAAACTATCAGATGATGAATGTTGGCTCATATTAAAGGATAAAGCATTTCTAGATGATAGTGCTCCTTTAACTGAAGATCAAGAGAGAATGGCAAGGGAGATCGCCAAAAAATGTGCAGGTGTTCCATTAGTGGCAAAGGTAAGTTATATTATCAATTTGCTCAAGTTTTCAAATGTTTTTTTATGGTTATTATATATTGTTCCAACCCGCGAGTTTCTCAGCCTAGGTTATTTTAAAATGTTACTATTCATTATCATCTTCTTCTTTCCTTTGATCGCTGCTGCGTTCTCTACCCAATAAGGCATAGAAGATCATACGGCTGCAGTTCAAATTTTTCCAAAAAAACTCAGCTAGGCCTTGCCCGCCTAGTGCCTCTGAATGAGTTATTCAATTTTTCTAACAATTAGGTCCATTGGCGATAGCCTAAAAATGGTTGGGGTCAGATATGGCCAAATATAACAAAATGACTGTACCTCTATAAGTTTTGATATTTCTTAAGTTATATTGTTATTACTTCTTCAATTTAATAGCCCATTATTGTGTAATAAAAATTTGAAATCATGATCGTCTATCTATAGGTTTTAGGAAATATGATGCGATGCAAAAAGAGTGATGGATGGCAATCGATTCTAAACAACAGAATGTGGGATTTAGAAGAAGGAGATGATAGAATTTTATCGGTTTTGAAGTTGAGTTTTGATGAATTGAAAATTCCATCTTTAAAACGGTGTTTTGCATATTGCTCAATGTTCACCAAAGATTTCAAAATTGAAAAGGATGATTTGATCCAAGTATGGATGGCTCATGGGTTACTTCAGTGCCCTTCTCCCAACCAAAGTAATCTAGAGATGGAGGATATTGGAAATGAATATTTTAATATTCTCTTGGAGAACTCTTTTTTTCAAGATGTTACAGTGGATATGTATACTGCTACTACTATTACTCATTGCAAGATGCACGATCTTGTGCATGATCTTGCAGAATATGTATCAAAATCAAAGAGCAAAGAATCCAATGAGTTTCGACATGTGGCGCAGATTTCTACCTCAATATTACAAGGCATATCAAAAGGAGGTGTACATAAATTGCGCTCAATTTTTTGGAATGGTGAAGTTCATGGTGACATCTTATCAAGATTTAAAGGCTTACGTGTGTTAAAATTATGCGAGGCTTTTATCAAGGAGTTACCAATTTCAATTGGGGAGTTGAAACACTTGAGGTATCTAGATGTTTCAGGAACAAGGATGAGGACGCTTCCCCAATGTATTGGCAAGCTTTATAATCTACAGACATTGAGGATGTTCAGACTCAAAGTTAAGTTCCCAAAGGAGCTGCTTAAATTGATCAGTCTGAGACATTTTTATTTTGATCGAGATGATGAGATATATCCAGTTGGGGTTGGGCAATTGACTAATCTCCGATCATTATCTTTTTTCATTGTGGGTAAGGAGAGAGGTCGTGGAATAGAGGAGCTGGCTGGCTTAAAGCAATTGAAAGGCCGATTATCCATTCATAATCTCGAGCTTGTGAGAGATGGAGAAGAGGCAAAGAAGGCAAAATTAGTGGACAAGACAGGCATACGCAGATTAGTCTTTGAATGGGACAGGTCACGGATCAATATTAACGACCTCGATGTACTAGAAGGCCTTCAACCACCGAACACAAAACTGGAATTTTTAGAGATTCGCAACTTTATGGGTGATAAATTTGCATCGTGGATGATGGGAAGTCCCTTTCCTTCGTTAAAAAGATTAGCTATCATCGGTGCCAACAATCTAATTGAATGGATGGAAGCACCAGAAAACATTGTGCTCTTTCCATGCCTCGAGGAGCTGCGTCTGCACAATTGCAATCAATTGAGAAGTGCTCCTAGTCATTTTCCATCTCTTAAAAGGTTAGTCATATATTCTATGGCTAGCGGCATGCCAATATCCAATATAAGTAGCAACCTGACCACTCTGACCTCTTTGGAAATAAAGAATATAAGGGACTTGATTATCTGCCAGAAGGGATGTTAAAAAACAACAAGAATCTTGCATATTTGAAGATTTACAATTGTTGGGACTTGAGTTCTGTTACCATGGATGATGTATTTGGGTGTTGCACTTCTCTTAAGTCCGTGATTATTTTTGACTGTCATAAACTTAGGTGTCTGCTGGATGGGTTGCAAACTCTTGTTTCTCTTGAGATGTTGTATGTGCGGGGTTGCAGTAGTCTAGAGCTCGTTCCAGATATGCACACTCTGACTTCTCTCTGTGAATTATCCATTGATGGCTGTCCTCAGTTATCCAGTCTACCTAATGGACTTGAACACTGCACTTCTCTTCAAATGTTGAAAATAAGGGACTGCTCCAAAATAACATCCATTCCAATCACACAGGGCCTTGCTTCTCTCTGTATATTAGATATTCACAATTGCCCTGAATTATCAAGCTTGCCGAGTGGGTTAGAACATTGTACCTCTCTTCAGGACTTGACTATATCTTCTTGCAAAAAGCTAACGTCCACTGGGGTTCACAGCCTCCCACCCTCCCTCCACTCTCTGGCGATATATGATTGCACAAGTCTAGAGTCCATTCTAACTTTACAGGGCTGCCGGTCCCTCCGAAAATTAGAAATTAGGTGGTTGTGATGGAGGGACAAGCCAACTGGTAACTGAGCTGGAATACTGTACCTCTCTTCATTCACTGTCTATCAGAGGTTGTGAAAGTCTGGCCCATTTTCCAGATGGGCTACAACTGTCTTCTTCTCTTGAGATACTCAGTATAAACAGGTGCCCAAATCTAGAAACTATTCCAAGTTTAGGAAACCTCACCTGCTTGAAGAAATTCGAAATTGGTGGATTTTGGAAGGAGCTCGATTCATTCCCTCCTTTTCAGGTTCTGCCACAACTTGAAAGGTTAAGCTTGTGCGGTTGGCGTAAGCTCAAGTCTCTGCCTGAACAAGTTCAACACTTTACTTCTCTAGCACATTTGGATATATTCGAGTTTGAAGGAATGGAGGCTCTTCCAGAGTGGTTGGGGAACCTTGAATCTCTTGAGTCCCTACATATATGGGAGTGCAGGAATCTGATGTATCTACCTACGGTTAAAGCCATGAAATGCCTCACCAAAATAGAACACATAACATTTTCTGATTGTCCTCTTCTAAAAGAGAGGTGCAACAAGAACAACGGGCCAGAATGGCCCAAAATTTCACATATTCCAGAGATTGAAGGTATTTCTCTCTCTTTTTTTCTTTCCGGTTCATGTATCAAGTACTCATCATGTATTCTTTTTTTCTTTCCTACTTCTCATTAAACTGAATTAGTTGCTATGTTGTATGTATGTTTTTGTTTCGTTTTCCCTAGACTACGATTTAATGTACATGATATGAATTTTGTTGAATATAAGTCTCGCATCGGGGAATTAAAAAAAATAAAATACTATATAAGTGTATGGTTTCACTTGTAATAACACAAGGGCTTTGCAATAAAACTCAACACCTAGCAATAGGTGGGATTTTTTAAGACAACAACAAATGGTTAAGTTGAAACAATATTCATTTGGTAATGAGTGGGTAAGTGGCCCGTTTCTCTAAATATCTAACAAATTTCAATCCTACAAATTTGTGACAAGATATGTTTACATCATGATACGCATCTGGTTACCTACCCTAGTCCAATCATGTCTTCTCATCTCTTTTAATTGTTTCTCTCCTTTCCCCACTTCAGTTATCAGTGAATAGTTGAAATAAGGATATGATTTATGTTATGAGTTGGAAAAAGTAAAAAGAAGATTTATCTCAGAGTTTTGAAGTGTTCTTCGTATTCATACGAGCATTTCAAGGTACCATTTTTTATAGTCAATTAGTTAAAATTATGCTCAAGTTTCTGACGTATTATGTTTAAATCTGTAGTTGACGGGATCCGACTTCAGAATCTTCCAATTATCTCCAAATGAGTACTGATTGTTACATTATTCAACTCAAGTCAGTCCCTCTTCTAAAGGTACCCTCTTTTTCTTCCAAACCTTTTAACACCAAATGAGTACCGAGCTTTTTTATAGCTATCACTTTTTCTTTCCTCTGGCATTAACATTTGACACCAAAGTTGTTATTTTTGATTGGTTCCTTGCGATAGGTACTGTTGTCAGGACGGTTGTAGCTATGTTCGCGAACGCTATTTTCATTCTAATTATAAGTAGCAGCATTTCCCCAATTGCTTAAACTTGCGTTGAACCAGATTCAGGGTAAGCTTCTTCCCCAAACGCATGCAGTCTTGATTCTGGGCAGGAAGTGAGCAAGGAGAAGTCTCAGATTTTCATTTGGGAAGGATACATTCTATTGCGGCTGTTTTAAGGGACTCCGATGGACTCGGAATTTTCTAATTTATTTGGTCTCTCCCCATTTTTTAGGTAAACTCTGTTCCTGCTATATCAATTTTTTAGGTAAACATTGGTATTCTTCTTATATTAGTTCTATCACCGACTAAATTCGGGCTAAGCTATTGAGCTGAAACTTGTCGCCTTTTATCTATGGCAGCCTGGCAGGGACACTGCAGTTGATATGAAGATGTCATTGCCAGTTTGTTTTGGTTTATGCAGTTGTTTCTTGTTACTGTCTAGAAAGAGAATTTCACTTCACCAAGGCATGCAGCAATGTTTCTAAAACTGTAATTTCATTAGCTAAACTTTCTTCAAATATAAGTTCAACGCTGGATGGAACAAATTATGTACTTCAAAAGAAAGCTCCCCGGTATTGTATTACAAATTAGACCAGCCACCTTTGCTTGGATGCAGTGTGCTGTTTCAGCGGAAACATATGTTGGAAAATTTAATATTATTCTTGTTATTATATCAAATTTATTAATTGAAAAGAAATTAGAAATGGAGCATTTTGGTAGAAAGATGTGTTTATTCAAATGAAAAATTGCAACTTTTGACTCTTTATGAATAGTCACGTGTTTTCCAAAGAGGTATCTCACATTCTATAGATAGGGAAACTTCCTATAGTCATTAAATAACTTTTTATCATACGTAGAATCATACATAGAGTGCACTAAATATTAGAGAGTCCCATTGAGTCTATATGAGATAGTTTTTAATACAATAGTTGTTTATGGAGCCTTGTGGTTTGAAGTGCTACTATTACAAGAACGTGGTCATTGTATCACAGGATAATATTACATCTCATAGTCTGGTTTAAAAAGGGACCTCCCATTCTCTTAGCCTATTCTGATGTAGATTGGGCATGTTGCACTTTTGACAAGAGATCCACTGGTGGATTCTATGTATTTATGGGACCTAATTTATTAGTTGGAGTGCTAAGAAACAGCCAACAATGGCTCGTTCTTCCACTAAGCCTGAGTATCACGCAATGCAGCAGAGGTCACTTGGATTTGCAAAGTATAAAGATTTTGGCTTTCCTCTATGTCACAGACCTACCATTTGTTGTGACAATATTTTGGCATCTCTCTTGTCTCAAATCATGTATTTCATGCTAGAATCAAGCATGTAGAAGTTGATTACCATTATATTAGAGACGTGGTTCTTGCAAATCTGGTTCAGATGCAATATGCTGCAGTCAAGATCAAGTTGCATATTTACTAAAGTCCTTGTCCAAAACAGGTTTCTGTTTCTTCAATCCAAGTTGCATATTTACTAAAGTCCAAGTCAAGATCAAGTCGCATATTTACTAAAGTGCAAGTCAAGATCAATATGCTGCAGTCAAGATCAAGTTGCATATTTACTAAAGCTCTTGGAACCTTCAGTTGTTCCAAGTTTAGCTTGAGGGGGGTGTAAAGATGAAGATGCCAAGTCATGACAAGTTTGTTATTTCCTATTCTAGTCAGCAAATCAGTTTATTACAACTGTATGTAATTAGATAAAAGTTGTTAGAGATTCTTAGAAATTCTTTTGTACATAGAATAGTGCTATATATATACACACACACACAATACTGCAAGTGTAATAATTAATCAATGAAGAGGAATATTGTTACAGAAAAGTAAAGCTTTCAATTTCAATAAAAATAAATCCAACAATTTCATATTCTATAGCGCACAAAAATTAGCAGAAAAATGTTCCACAACAGAAACCTCATTAAGTTTTATATCCGTATTTTCGGCAGCTGTCTAACTATTGTATCGATAGGGTAAGGAGGACCTAAGGTCACATTCATCTACTACCGACTTATATTGAGATGCACCATACATGAACCATCGTTAAAACATAGAACAGAGGCCAATGAAGATTCCAGAACCGGGCAGCTGCTTATTTTGCCACAAACAGGCTGACTTTACCAATTTATCATTTGTTTCAATTCTATTTCATTGAAAGATTAATCATTTTCACAATAATATTTTAGAGTGCCGATAACAGCAGTCTTACTGTACATATTCATTTGAGCAAGACATCTTACAATGTCATGACTCATGACGCCCCTATTTTTAGTTTGTTGTTTTCACTTTTGTGCCTGAGATTCAATATCATAAAAGCATGTCGGGGACAAGAAATGATGAAGGGTGAATCTTGAAAAAGAAAACAATCTAAAATAGTTTTTTTGTATTTGGTTTTAAGTTTCCCTTCATTCACTCTTATTCATCCCTCATTTCCTCCGTGTATTTTCCCTGTATCACTAATACAAAAAATTGAAATTCAAAAACCGAATTGGTTATTAAATAGGATCTTAATAACTGAGATTGTTTTTTTTCATTCATGTCCAACAATTCTAAACTTGCCGTCTAATTGTTATTTCATGGAATAACTGACATTGGCCCAAACAACTTGGCATCATATATGATACAGTGCATGGGTAACAAATATATTAGGTTTTAGTGACTTCTCATCTCTCAAAACCTTTGTGACCTTCTCTTTTAATTGAATTGCCTAGTAACTATCCTGCTCTTAAATATTTAGTATATCAATGCTTTGTAATTTCCCTATTTAAATGGCTCCATATGTATCCTTAAAGTAGTCAATCTAGTGAATTATAATCAATTTAAGAAGAGAGTGATTTTCTCCTCCTTAAAATCAAGTGTGAGACTTGGTCATGTTGAATGATTCCACGATTAGCGAAGTGAGTAATTCCGTTGCCCCTAGTTTAGTGATTCTCAAGTTACTTCCCCCTCCCTTTTCGAGACCATTGTCTTTTCTGCGTCAATGTAAGTTTGTCACTATGTAAAAATATGACAACAGCATAAAACATCCTTAGGAAAAAGAAAACTCATCCCGACAGCTCATGTAAGTTTATCACTATAATTTAATAGTGTTCATCTTTATTTACAAGTGAAAGGTCTTAGATTTGATTCTTATATTATAATTAAAATAAAATAATGCAACATCGATGTATTTGAGGTTTTGATTTCGTTGTTTCTTGCCGGCTTGATGATGCGAAAGAAAGACATTCACAATTTGATTCTGAAATTTTCAGGGCACTTTCCTTGGTGTTCTTTAATATGATTCCAGAAGGTTTGGTGGGCCTTGAAAAAGAATATATATACACAAATATTGCTTCTGAGCGGTGTGATTCTCTAAACTGATAATACATGAAAGGAAAGACAAATTTTAACAGTTGGTTTTGCAGTAAGCCACGAAAGTCATATATCTGTAGTTATTCCAAAGTTTCAAATTTAGACGGCATTGATATAATTTTATAATAAGTAAGCTATCAGTAGCCGTTGATGCATCATGCATGTAGTATTTATTTGCTAATTAATATCTAATCAAACATAAGAGACGATATAATTATTTTATTTGCAATGGCGTCAGCCATTTATACCTTTAATGTAAGTTGTTAGTCTATAAATGCATAATAACCCGCACGACTAAGGCGAGAAGCAATACATTGTGCCCTTGATCATTGTGCTGTTTGTCTTGAGTAGTCCAGAAATATGGACGGATTTCTTACTTTTGGTGTCAAGGAAATACTGAAGAAAGTGGCTTCACTTGCAGCTCAAGAATTCAGTTTTCTCTGGGGATTCGAAAAAGAACACACTAGGCTGCGTGATTCATTGTCCATCATGCAAGCTATGTTACGAGATGCCGAACAATCACAAGTTTGGAGCGAGGCCGTGGAACTTTGGGTGAAGACGCTTGAAGACATAGCTCATGATGCTGACGACGTGTTGGATGTATACGGATATGAAGTTCTGCGGCGTGAGGTGGAACTGAGAAACCAAATGAAGAAAAAGATGCTCAACTTCGTTTCACACCAAAATCCCATTGCTTTCCGTTTCAAAACGGTACATAAATTAAGAACATCAACGCATCTTTGGATAATTTGAATAAGATGGCAGCTAGTACTGGACTAGTTGCTCGATCCACTTTAATTGTAGATCCAACGTCCTCTCGTGATATTGGATTACTTAACGGGTAGGGAGACCGTTTCTTGCTTTGTTCAAGATGAAATTTTCATAGTGGGAAGGGGCGTAGTTGCATCAGAGATAGTTACAACCTTGATCAACTCAATCAATACCCAAGAGAGTGTTCTTTCGGTTATGGTCATTGTGGGAAAGGGAGGCTTAGGAAAAACAACATTGGCTAAGACAATTTATCATGATTCCAAGATAGATACACACTTCAATACAAAATTATGGATATGTGTATCTACCAATTTTGATGTCAAGACAATTTAAGCATGATCCGTTGGAGATATGTCAACAATCTATGATAAACTTATATATGCTAATAAATAATAAATGCGAATAAATATTGAATAGAGTATGAGCAACAAAATAATATTAAACAAAAAAATTGAAGATCGAAGCTTGCGTACAACAATGTCCTTGAAATAGAAATTTCGTTCTTACTCAGTGCTTGCAGTTCTATGGACGTCTGCTTCATCAAGATTCAACGATCTAAGTTAGGAATTCCAGCACCGGAAAAATTGACTTCTAGCGAATTTCTGTGTGGTTCTCTCATAAAGGATGTTTATGATTGTAGAAGAAGAATGTTGATTTTCTGTGTTCTAAATGCCATGCAAATGGATGTTTATCTAGTAGATGGATGCATGTTCGCAACAGGTATGAGAATGAGATGTGTCTGTTGGGAGACATCTTCTCTAGATGGGTGCTTTGCTCTGCATTCTTTCTGAACTCTTCAGACTTCATCTGAAAGGATGAGTTTGTTGGTAAATAAATAAATAAATTCGAAATTAATTAAAAATAATTAATTCAATCTGAAAATAATTAATTAAATAATTTAATTAGTAGAGCACGAGCCCCAAGGCCCATCTTTTGACAATTAATTATAACCCAAGGGTGAGCCTAATTTTATTCTCCAAGATGTATCACTCCAATCACTTTATATAAGGGACAAAGTCTTATAAAGTGAGGAAACCTTGTGGTGGTGAGTAATGTGGGACAATGAAATTCTGCTCAAAATTTCCAACATGATCTTGGAATAGCTTGAACAGAAAAAGACTGGGATGCAGGGTAATGATGCAATACTCAGAAATCTGCAAGAGGATTTGAAAGGGAAAAGGTATTTACTTGTACTTGATGATGTTTGGAATAAAGATTCTCGTAAATGGAATGATTTGATGAGTTGTTTGTTGAGTGTTAAAGATACTGAAGGAAGCAACATCCTTATCACTACCCCAGGCAGTAGTGTTGCATCAATTGTGAAACACTTCGTAGGCGCGATCTGGGAAAATTTTCAAATGATGAATGTTGGCTCATATTAAAAGATAAAGCATTTCTAGATGGGAGTGCTCCTTTGACTTAAGATGAAGAGAGAATGACATGGGAGATCGCCAGAAAATGTGCAGGTGTTCCATTAGTTGCAAAGGTGCGTCATGGTATCAATTTGTGCAAGTTTTCACATGCTTTCTTATGATTTTTAATTCTTTTTGTTGAGAACG